TTTTGGCAAGGTGTTCACAATTTAATCAAAACAGAATTCCAACTATAACGTATTCCCCCTACTTCTAAGTTTTGTCCTTTCCACAAGCAAATAGCGTACAAGACCAATAAAACAATTTATTTAAATGTTCGCAGCCTGTGATCCACTGGTTTTTATTTACCATAAAGCTGTAGCTGTAGGAAAACGACGACTTACCATAGATTTCGACATTTTTACAACAGGTATCAAATTCTTCATATCTGGAGTTGGTTTATTCATTTTATGAATTAAAATCTTTTTTTCAGAAGATCGTTTAAAAAAAGACATTGAATCAAATCTTTAATCACACATTTATCCATTTCTAAATATTATTTTTCACTTATTTTTCTTTAATCTCTTTCTTTACTTTTACCATTTTCTAGTATAAAATTGCAATAATGACTTTGTTTTGATTTATTTCCAACCTCTATATAAGAGTAAGAAACTCTCATGCATTCATTTACTCTTTTACTTTGTATTTACAATGCCCGGTTCAGTTTTTATACTGAACCATTTCCCCATATAAAACAGCAACCGTGACTTTGATTGTATTTGCACGCTTTGTATAAACTTTTGGTTCAGTTTAGTCGACTGAACCTCTAGTCAAATGTAAAGTGATTTTCGCTGTCATTTATTTGCTCTTTTGTATTTACTTTGCATAACATTGGAGATTCACTTTTTTTTTAAGAGTTAAGATTATTTTACGTACATATTTTGCGGGGCTTGTTTTCTCTTTTATTTTTATATTTGTTTGTATGTTTTGTGTTGTGTATTCAATATTGAACATAGTCCTAAAGTGAATGTTATTTCATTTGCATGCTTTGTAAGCAACGCGGTGCAGTTTTTATTCTGCACCTTAGTATATTTCAAGAGGAATGTGTTTTCTCTTTTATTAATTATAAGCAATGTTGGGTGTAACTAACATATGTATGTGTGGTTTTGTTTGTATTATACGTTTTGTGTTTATGTTAATATGTTTGGAAAAGCTATTATAAAAAATGTTAAATAGCAAAATAGCGAGATTATTTACCTAATAAAAAAAAATCTAAAAAGGAAGCTTTGTTAAGGTGTTCAGTGAACACTCTGAACCATTCGACGCCTCGCCTCTGGGTACCAGTCATTAAACCATCGAGAAATATATGATTTTCTTTATATAATATTTTAAAAAATTCGTTATTGCGATTTATTGATTTGAAAGTTATTTTTAAAGTAACAGAACTAACTGAATGGGTTAAATCAATAGTTTAAGTCAAAAAAGCTAATGGTAATTAACGTTTGTGTCTTGGCCCCAGAAACTTAAATAAAGTTGTATTACGCCCTCACTATACATTACCCAATATAGATGAATGCAAGTCAAAATTAAGCAATTCAAAAGTTTTCAGCTCATTAGATGCCAATTCCGGTTTTTGGATGATTCCTGTAGATATTAAATCATTCCAACTTTGTACATTTACATAATACTCCATTTGGGCGATATCGTTTTCTAAGATTACCTTTCGGAATAAATTCAGCTCTAGAAATATTTTATGCTGAAATGTTACGTCTATAGATTAAATAGATAATGGTAATATAGATGATCTAATTACATATATTGATGATTTTCTTATTCATACGCCAGATGTTGAAAAGCATGACCACATTTGTTTAAAGGTTTTAACAAATGCTAGAGAAGTTGGCTTAAAATTAAGTAAGGATAAATCGTCTTTTTAAAAAAAGGAATTAAAATTCATTGGTCATATTTTTAGTGAAAATGGTGGAAAAGCAGATGATGAAAAAATAAAATCTATTAAGCGAATGACACGACCTAAAACCAAATCCGAATTTCAATCTTAGGAATTATAAATTATTTAGGTCCTTTTATTAAAAACCTGTTTTCTAAAACAAATAACTTACATTGTCTGTTAATGAAAAATATATTTTCAAAAAATTGAAATTTAGAATTTATACACAAAAAAATGCAATGTAATGATAAAGGAATAAGTAGTTATATTACTCAAAAGGTAAAGAAGGTTCACATACCTAAGAGTCTGGAATATAAATAGAAAGGTAAATAGAAAAGAAATTGTATTTTATGTCGTATATAAATCCAGTTCATTTAGTTGATTTAATATTAGATTAATGAATTTATATATCTAAAAAAAAAGAAAGATATATAAACATTATATTTATAAATATAAATATGTACCTTAAAACACATTTCCGTATTTTAAGTAATCTTTATCTCTTATTAATGTAATATTGAAGTTAGTTTAATGAAGATCATCAAATTCATAACAGAAACCAATCACCGAATCGAGCAATAATAACACAATTGAGACTTCAAATTAACATGCTTGAATCCCTCTAAGTACATCAAAAATTTCTAGACTGAAAACTTCCTGTTTCCCATGCAGAAAAACTGCATATTCCTTATAATCCGCATTTCAGAAGTTGTGTAAATCAGTAAGAAAAAGAAGTCATAATACATTTTCTCTGTGAATTCCCCGCTTTGCGTCCAGAAGAAATAGGTTTTTAGGAATACATTTCTTTGACAGTCTATCAGACTGTTCATCGGTGGAATGGATTTAGACTCTACTCTTTTACACTAGGGGTTTTTGTGAGGAATATGGTAGCAAAACGGAAAATCGCAAGTTATATTTTATAAGAACTTCGAAACTCAAGCCCTCACTTACAGATTTCCAATAAACAATAATTTTGTTTGACTTCATTGGGCAACGTATACCAATTAATTTTATTTTGTCTAATTTTTTATTTATTATTATTATTATTATAATTTATAATAATTATGGTTAACGTTTCAATCGGTTTTATTGGTTAGTCAGATAATCAATAGCTCAATTTAAAAACTTTTTTAAAAACAGTCTATTAGCAATTATTAATATTTTTCCAATGAATGACTTAATCGAACTTAATTAATGTTCGATTTCGCATTACTTTTTATATTCCATTTCAGTCTTAGTTTTAGTTTTAATGACTCTTCCAAGTTTGATGGTACCATGGAACAGACACGCCTTAAAATCTCGTGTGCAATCATTTTCGTACAGTCACTCTTAGTATGTTTTACTTAAGTGTTAAAATAATTATAATTATAAATAAAATAATAGTTTATTAAACTAAATTTTATTTAACTTTTGCTATTACAGTGTACAACAACAAACGCCATGCGTTATAAAATTATTAATCTGGAATGTAAAACAAATGCAAAGTTTGTGATAAATACTGATTGCAGGTTGAAAGCTGTTAATAGGGAAACGTCACTAGTCAATATGAGTTGTGATGTTGTTGGTGTTGTAGGCAATATATCTGTAAGTTATGATATACACAAACTGAATATACTTTTACTTATTTTTTCCTTACACAGGTACACATTCAGGTGTGGCAAAAGAATTCAAAAAATATATACCGCCCATTTTTAATAAATATCACTGAGAATGCCTGCGACATTTTAGATAAAAGAAAAAGTCATATCTATACGACAATAGCATTAAATATTCTGAAGGAGTTCTCAAACATTAACCATACAAGTCCTTATAGAGTAATTGTATTATATATAATATTTTTTCTATTTTTTTAACAAATTTATATACAGGGTCACGTCTTTATTAAAAATGCCTATATGGATCAACGTTTGATACCAGTTTCACCACCCACAGGCTTGTATAAAATAGTTATCCGTTGTTTTAATACCTATAGCTTAGAAGAATATGGAACTGTGAATTTCTTTATAGAAGTTAAAGATTAAAACAGAAATAAATAAGTAATCAATACCTTAACAGGTTTCAAAGTAAAAAAAAATGTTAATTTTTTTTTATCCTAAATTGACTTTAACGTCAAGGTATTAGTCCTTAACAAATCGATTTATCGATATTCGTATGAATTCTAACTTATCTTTCTGTGGATTTAAAACCTTTTAATATTGAAAATAAAATCAAAGTTATTAAA